GGAAAGAGTTGTTTTTTACTCAAATACAGAATGGATCTTTGCTTTCCAAAAAGATTAGGGCTGGGATTTGTAGCAATTTGGAGATTATTTTTGTTTTACTCTACTTTGAGCAGACTTCCAAGGTTCAACTTCTTCCTCAAAAGAACTTGCTGTTAGAAGGTAAGGAATGTTCAAAGAGTGACACCATCCTTTCAAAAAGCTTAAAGCCACTCACCCACATCACCTGAAATGGTGAAGGGTCAACTTTCCACCACTCTGTTACTCACTTTCAGGAGTCAACTTTTCTAGTTTCTAGTAATAGCTGTAATATTTAATTTACCAAATTAGAGTTATACTGGGACACCCAGAATGCATGAAGAATTATATACGGGGAAATAGTTTGCTACTATCCACTCCTTTATTTCTGAGAACACTGTCTCTGAGACCATAAAGGGCTTCCTAAGGTAGAGCTGTCAATTTCTATCAGGATACAGTCTCAACTATGCTTAAGCAATAGATGCACCAGAATCCTAAGCAACATGAACTAGTTGTTTAAAGTCTGCTTAACAATAGAAGTGCATGACCACACCCCCAAACCAGCTGCAAGCAAAACCTGTTTTGAGAATTAAAGCAGCACATATGCCAGTTTCTGCTTTTTTACCCCATGAAGACCTTGTCAGCTCTCTTTACTTGGATACCCTGCCCTCATCAGAGTGAAAAAATGCTTTTATTTCTTACTTTTCTCTAGGAAACTATTATACTTGAAACAGATCTTCATCACACCACCAAAAATCTCAACAGCAGTTTTCACCAATTCTGATACTGCCAGAGAAAAAAACGTAGCACAGTGAAATTCAGAAACAGGCCTTTGCAGACACTCTAGATGGGTTCTGGAAATCAGGTTCAGCTTTATGCTGTTGGCCTGGTGTCAGGCACAAACACTACAATCAGATAAAAGCCAGGTTGATAACGCAAGTTTAGCTGCTGATAACTATACATGTAGGTAACTAAGTTTCCCAAGCTCCCTAAACTAAAACAGATGGCCCAAGTGACCTTGTGCCAAAAACTCCAGCATAGTTTATTTAAACTTTTCACTCAGTCTTCAGTGCATTAAAGCACTTCATATAAAGTGGAGCAATCTCCATTCTGAAAGGCAGCATTCAAAAATATTACTAAAAGTATTCCAAACCATGTCTAAAATGGGACAATGTTACACACAGATACTTCACTAAAAGGCAACTTTATCTGCTGAAGTTATAGAAACACCAGTAAACACCCTGCTATCCATGAAGAGTCACATTTTTCAAAAAGCAAATCAGCCTTCTCAATGGAGGATGTCTCATGTAAGATCATTAGTGAGGAAGAGATTTGAACACCTAAGATTGAAATCCTATGGTCATATTGGGTCCATGATGCCCAACTCCAACGAACAAATCCAGAAATTCCAGCAATAGTCTTAAAATCGTGTCACTTTTTAAAAGCAAATAACTAGTTCATAGGCAACAGGCTTCTAACTTCAGCCTGGAAACAGTGTTCTGGTAGATGAATTACAGTTCCCAGGGGCCATACTACCTGTGGGATTTACGACCAGTCCCACCAATAATTTGTGATGTGATTTTCAAATCTTTTAGATAAGGAACTCAGGCTGGGCTAAGGAGCTTCCACTGCCTTGTAAAACTGTGGGATCATCCACAGTATTTTGTATCTGGATGCTTCCATCCCTAGCTACCCCAACCATTCCCCTGTAAGAACTATGACACCCTGCAACCATTCTTGAGACTGACAGGATTAAAACAAAGTCAGTTTCCATGTGGTTTGAGTCACTGATTCTTCATTAATACTTAAAATTAGTTTATACAAAAAGATCCAAGGCACTTGGTAGTAAAGAGTGAAAAAACTCCACTTTTTAAATACCTTTTAAAATGCAACATTTAATCTCACTGGAAGATAAAAATAACAATAGCAAATTTCTTATTCTTATATTCCAGAACTTGCATAAAGACAAATTTTAATAAAAAGTAAAAGCACCATACAACTTTGGACCCACCTCACAGGAGAAAAAGGAGAGGCCAATAAACCAAGAACTAATTTGCTTTATTTTTTTTCAGCAGCTAATCTAGCCCAAAAACAATACTGTTAAAACTACAAACTCAACACAAAGGAAAAGACTGTAAAAATATTAATTGGGAGAGGCTAAATAGAGAAAGAGACAGGAGAGTATTTCAAAAGATTATGAGTTCTGGAAGTATTTCTGTTAAGAGAAGATGTTACGTTCGGTGTATTTTTATCTCAAGCCAAATTAAAAAGCAGCTGGTAGTGCCAGTTATGTGTCTCTGAGGGGTGGGGAGGAGGGGGACACACTCAACATACACACACACTCCTCCCAGAATGTCCTCAGCACTGGCTAGAGCAACACAGAAATTCAAACACCAGTAGCACTTATTCTGGGGGGTGATGTGGAGGGGAACAACACTTCTTCCCCCTTCGTTAATTATAAATTAAATTTAGGGCATGCCAGTAAATGGTTATGCTCCCCCTCACAAGAGAAAGGGGACTTCAACAACATCAAACCACTGCTGGCAGCAATGAACTGAAGCCAGACCTCAATACTTATATTTTTCCATCTGATTTCTACTGCAGATAACATCAAGTCCTCAGCACTCGGACAGAGGCCACGAATGAAGACAGAAGTGTTGTACA